TCTTTCAGACGAGTAGCTTCTGAACCGAACCTCCCAATGCGTGGATTTTACAATCAAATCCACTTATAGTGCTTCCGTTCCCCTCCTCGGGGAACGAAGGGTTACTTCAGTAACCTCGAACGTTAATTCTTTGCTATCTGAATATTAATGTTAAATATTTTAGACTTGATGGCATTTAAACAGTGACATTGGCTAAGTCACTAACCACAATAGTCCAAAAAGCATCCTCACTCTAGCATAGGAAAAATAAGCAGAGAATTGAGTCGAAGTCATTTGTGTTAAAGGCAAATGCTGCAGTAAATCACGCTGTCTATGTGTGTGTGTGTCCTCAATGGTAGAGGAACATAATTGTTTGGATGTTGTGTAGAACAGAGAGATAAAGTTGAATGAAAGTATTTGCATCTGATGGTTGAATTCAGTAAGAAGTATTTATACTGCTGCAGCGAAAATTTACATTTTAGGAAACAAAAATGCAGCGTGAACTTTAACAGCATTTTTAAGCAGTCAAGTCAACTCAAGTCAATATTATTATTGTGAATACTGACAAGTTTTACAGTAACTTAGACTGTCTTTAAATGAAAATTTTGTAGTCCATATCCAAGCAAGAGTCTTGATTATATGTTGTAAAAGAGTTGTTAACTCAGTCTGTTCTTGTTCAGTTGGTAATGCTTTCAAACAGGTTTTACTGTCAAATGACAGGTTTGAAAGATTTTCAAATAATCAAAAGTTTGAGCAAATAGCTAACCTGTGAGCATTTCTAATTGACCAGACAGTAAGAATCAAATGAATTTTATACAAGATCATACTGTTTGCTTCTGATTATGTTGAATGATTTAGTCAGAGTAAAGTAAATGGTACAAATGACAAGTTGAGAAGATAATTATAAGGTTTAGTCTTATTTCTGTTAAAAGATGCTTGAGTTTGAATTACTCAGGTTTGATCTTTGTTGAATTTGACTAAGATTTTGTTAAACCCCTAAAACATGGGAACAAAAGAAATGGATTCACAATCCCTCTTATTGCATGTTAATGACTTGGATTAATAGTTGTAAAAACCATTACATCTTTCTTGGTCTCTAGGTAACAGGTTATATCTATATCTAGTCTCTGTGAGGTGACTGAGGGTCTGGCTCAATTCATTTAGCCCGGCTTCCAGAGAGTGGATTTGATATTAGTTTGTTAACTGTGAAGGTGAATTTGGCTCATTATGGTCAGGACAAGGGTGCTTGTACACTTCCTATCAATGATACAGAGGAATGTGTAGCATCACTACAATCACAACATTATTTGAATGAAAAGATATTTTAAGTGGACGTGACTGACATGGAGTTCAGCAATGTGATGATTAAACATGGTAATGGTGCTGAATTTGACTATTGTGCTGTTGGCATGTTTAATGTGTGTTAATGTAAAAATGCTTCATTATTCTAATTTGAAGTTACAGAACATGCTGATGAATGTTTTAAAACTGGTGAAGATAAAGATGTTTTTGCAGGTCATGAATTTGAATCCTGTGTGGCTTAGGTCGAGTGGATGACCTTTTGTGTCTGATCAGAGGATCTCTGAGCACTAGAATTAGCCTGTATGCTTGGATTTAGAGTTGGAGCAAGTTGTAGATTCATCAGAGGAAGTATCGATGGAAATTATGAGTTGTTTACTTCTGGAGGACTTTTAGGGCTTGTGCATTTGTGTTCACATTCTGGACTTTGGTCCGCTGTTGTTGTTTTTTTGTATGTTTTCACTTCTGCTTGCAGGACCCTTAATCCCACCGATGATGAGAAACGTGAACTCCTTTTGTGGGTGGAGAGTGAAAGAGCCCTTAGCTTGGGGACTGGAATTTTTAGGTTCCAGCTTGTCCAAGAAGGGGTGAAAAAAACTCTGCGAACTTATTAAGGGAGCATGAGTCATTACTTTCACTCTCCTTAGTGACCTCACTGGTTGACCGGAAGTGGAGTTTGGACTCCATTCGGGTCAAAAGGGGGGACTGAAGGATTCGGATTTCTGCTTTCCAATCCATCTCATCATGGACCAACGTTTATCCTTTTCATCATCCTGTTTCTCAGTATTTAACTGTGAATTGGTTTTTAAATAATGAATAAGTTAAAACTGCTTACTGTAAGAATGTTCTGTGTCCTTGTTTCTCTTTTTGCCTGTCTATTTTAACTTTGTTTTCTGGAGACACACAAACCAGGTCATAGGTCATGAGATCTCTCTCTCTCTCCCCATACAGAGGAGAAGAAGACACCTGTTCTAGTTGTCCTGATATTGCCTATAATATTATAGCTGTTTGATTGATCTATTTTTGAGTATAATAAATTTTAATGTAATTCCTTTTTGTGTGGAGACAGACTGTGTGCAGCCAAGATATTGCAGCAGACTGTTGATGGAAACAGTCTTGAACCAGCCTGATAACACAGCTGAACGTACAAGAAACATCCTTGAGTCTTTAACACAGATGGTCTTTTGTGTCTATTGTTTTCCTGGTTTAGCTTTTTACAGGTCGAAGATCAGCTCCTAATAACTTAAGGCGACCTCACCTCTAGGCATCAGGTCGCCATCCATATCTGGAAACAGATACAATGCTTTCTTTGACGCACGCATTAAGGCCATCCATATCTGGAAGTAGATACTATGTTTCTTTGACACATGTATTTAGAATTGTCTATTTCTGTTGTAACCAATGAGAACTGTTTACCTGGATCCCACCCTTTCTGGACTTGTGTAAAGAGTATAATTGTTCGATTGTTGAAACTGTGAGCAGAGCGGCCTAGGAACTCATTGAGAGTGTTGAAGCTGGCTTCTGCGGAATGAAACTGCAAACTATCTTCAGTAAACTTAATTTATTTTTTTTAAATCTCTGACTCCGGCTCTTCTTCATCTACCAGACTGGTCATTCTTTGGGTTAAACTGTAAATTATCCCTACACTATATTATACTTTTTTATATTCCTTCAACACACTCGTGCTCAGAGAATCTGCACAGATATTTTCAGCTCCAGTTGTTTTTGTGTTGTCTCAAGAACACGCCCACAGTCAGGAGAATCTCATGAATATTCATGTCAGTGTCACTCAGTGAAGCCAATAATATTTCAGGATATACCTGTAGATCACACAGGTGTGTTTTAGTGAAGTGAAAGAGTTCAGATTGTGTTCCTGCTGCACAAGAGCGTCTGTACTTCTGCATGTGAGTTTAACACTTCTACATTACGCTGATTTGTGGAGATGATGAAGGGGTTTTTTATGTGTGAGTGTGATTTAAATGTCTGATCCTGAAGATCAAATCCTCAAACACAGATTAAACACTGAGTCAAACACGGTCATTTAAACACTGTGTCTAAAAGCTTTATTTTTAATCCCTTTACAGTGTTTGTTCTCTTCTATATCGGACTGACTCAATAGTTTATAATGATTCAGCATTAAATATAACTCTGAACAGAGTCAGAGTCACAAAATCAAAAGTAAAGTTAAAGCAGACCTTCCAGTTGAACAGGAAGAAAAGTTGCTCAAAACAGGTTTTTTCAAGAGGTGGTTTAGATTGTTTTTTTAAGGCTTGGTTGTGTTCATTTATTTTTATTATTAAAATGCTGACTTTCACTACACAAATGACATTTGACCCTTCACTATCAGCAAACGTTTTAACTCAATATCTTAGTTAAAATATATAATGTCACTCGACAAACTAATATCATATATTAAATGTGAAATATGTGAGGTGTCAGAAGCAGACCTTCCAGTTGAACAGGAAGAAAAGCTGCTGAAAAACAACAAGCTGACATTTCTTAAACAACACTGCATTTAACCATTTACTGTCAGAGTAACTCATTATAACTTAAATAATAAAACTACAACAACTGCACAATAGTTATGAATTGAGTTATAAACAGAGGTAAAGTTGCTTTATATTCGTACATTTGTTATTTTGGCTACTTTAAATATTGGCTCTGAAATGGTTCGTAAGAATGACTTAAACACAACATTAGCACGGTTTATTAGACTGTGACTATTGTACTTTGATAGTCGTTGGCTGATAATGTGATTTATTGAGGTAAAGTTGGTCTTATATTCACACATTCAGACTTTCTCCTTGATAATATCACTTTAGAAAATGATTCTGTGCTAATTTGAAATAGTAAAATCATATTATATTATTATATAATGACCATCAATATACAATATTCAGTCAATTAAACAGTGCTAATGTTATGTTGAAGTATTCTTACGCGCCATTTCAGAGCCAGTATTTACAGTAGCCTGTCATTAGTTGTCACAGTACCAAAACAAACATCTATAAAAACAACTTTTACTCAATATATGATTTCACTAGTTAGAATTAGCACAGAATCATTTTCTGAAGTGATATTATTAAAGAGAAAGTCTAAATGTGCGAATATAAAACCAGTTTTAGCTACTTTTAGCTGAAGTTTTCAGTTAACACACAAATTAAATGAGCTTTAATAAACCGACCTGTCTGTTCCTCAGACTCTTCTTTTCTCACTGTAAGCGCCTCTTCTTCAATCTTCACATCTTCACTCTTCAATTTAACAGGATCCATTTTTCTTCAGTCAATTCAGCAGTTGTTTTCTTTCTGATCAGTCCAGTATTTTCTACGTAACTCCGAAAAACACTTTCTGGGCCAGGATGATGGAGTTTTTCATATATTTTTTTTATGTTTGTTTCCTGAAAGCTCTGATAATGTCTGCATTGGTGTTTTAGCTGCAGTATGGCAGAGGAGCGAGAAAAGGACTCTCTCTCAGAGAAACACAGGTATTGACTCTGTTTTTACACCATTAGTTTAAGCTCGTCCTGATTTTGCCAAGTGCTAGTTGTCCTGAGACCAACATATTTTATGATGACCCAGGGACATCATCACTATCAGCCAATCAAACGTTATTACGTCATCATTATGAGCCTCCTGCAGAGTCCGCCAAAAACGCAAATTCAAAAAAGAAAACACACACACCCACGCACAGGCAACTGCCATTTTCACCAGTGAAGAGGACAGGTGAAGAGGACAAGTGAAGAGGTGAGATCACCGGTTTTCTTCTATAAGTTTATAGAAGCATTAATGATTGTAAAATTCATATGTGTTTATGGATTTGTCCTTTTTTCCATTGAAGTAAACGAGCAACGTTTAACTTTTGTTTGCATTAAGTTAGCCTAATTAGCCCTCCCTACCTAACGTTAGATTAGCGTGCTGCTCTTCCGCTACTGTGATTTACTTTCTGGTATTAATTAAAACAAGCTAACAATATTGTTTTGAATATTTAAATCTAACAAACGTTATTAAACGCGACTAAACTTACCCTCTTGCTAATTTAGAGACCTTTTTTCTAATAATTCGGTTTTTAGCATGTATTATGTCAATTTCATTTAAAGACACGCCAGAAATGTGGACCAACACAGCACTAACGTTAGTTTAAACACAAGACAGTAGGTTATTTGAGGCGTTAACTACTGTGAATCACTGCAAAAATTCAACTAACGTTAGTGATTTAATAATTTATTCTGTTAAATATGTTGGCATAATCACAGGTTTATTAATATCATTTATATTTTAACCTCAGGTCATCATCACTGATTTATTAATATGTTAACCTTAGGTCATAATCACTAATTTATTAATTTATTTAATATGTTAACCTCAGGTCATCATCACTGATTTATTAATATATTTAATATGTTAATCTCAGGTCATCATCACTGATTTATTAATATTAATAATACGTTAACCTCAGACCATCATCACTTATTTATTATTATTATTAATACTTTAACCACAGGTCATCATCACTGATTTATTAATATTATTAATAAGTTAATCTCAGGTCATCATCACTGATTTATTAATATTATTAATACGTTGCAGGTCATCATCACTGATTGAATAATTAATATTAATATTTTAACCTCAGGTCATCATTACTGATTTATTTATATTATTAATATGTTAACCTCAGGTCATCATCACTGATTTATTTATATTAATAATATGCTAACCTCAGGTCACCATCACTGATTTATTAATATACAGGTCATCATCTCTGATTTATTAATAATGCGTTAACCTCAGGTCATCATCACTGATTTATCAATATTATTAATATGCTAACCTCAGGTCATCATCACTGATTTATTAATAATATGCTAACCTCAGGTCATCATCACTGATTTATTAATATTAATAATATGCTAACCTCAGGTCATCATCACTGATTTATTAATAATACGTTAACCTCAGGTTATAATTGTTAATATTGTGGATTTTTACTTTATATTAGCAAATTCGGGTCAGAATTGGTATTTGCTAGATGTTGATTTCATGCATAAATTGTTTTTTTCTAGAGAAGGTAAATAAAAGTAAACAACAAAATGCATTCTTTGGAGAGCAAACATTTGTAATATTTTGTATTTGTTTTCTCTATCTTAAAGTTTAAAGTATTTATTTTTTAGGTGTTTTATGGTTGAAAAAGACCAGGCTGAAATCAATGCCATCCGTAAGGTGTTCAACGAGTCAGACAGTCTCCTTTGTTGGTACCATGTAACGCAAGTAAGTACTAAGTTAAGATACTGCTTTTGTTTTTCCTCATTTTATAGATTCATATTCTATTTTTATCAACTGTCATATTAATATATTTTTTATGTAAATCTCTAACAGGATTACCATTAACATTTTTTCATCTTCAGTTGCTAATGAATCAGTGGATTGAGCTTAAGCTTATTTCACATTGCAACATGTCACACAACATATTGTAATATTACTTGACATTATCTGGGTATTATTTTGCGTTTATGTCAGTCATCGATGCACTTAAGCAAAAAAAAAAAAAAAAAGTAGCAATAAGCAATAACATATATTGTTTTTACTTTGATTTGAGTACCCCTTAACTTGAAGCTTATAATGCTTGATCCTAATTTTGAATGTGTCATGGAAGTTCTGACCATATTAAATATGTTGTGTTACGTTTTTCCACCATTTATTACACACAGGCAGTAACTTGTTGGCTGTCAATATCTGAATCTGGTGTGAGTGGACCTGAAAAGGCAGATTCAAGAGCGCACATCATACAGTTTATGTCAGAGATGAAATGCTGTTCAAAGGTGTGTTGCTATTTGTTTTATAGTGCTTTCACACCTACACTTCTGTTTCAGAACCTGTCTCGTTTGGCCAGTTAGCGCGGTTCGTTTGGCATATGTGAACAAGGCAATTGCGCTCTATTCCACGCCAAAGTAATCGCTCCGAGACCACCTGAGTGAGGTAGTCTCGGCTCGATAGAAATGAACCCTGGAGCGGTTCGATTACAGTGAGAAAGCGATCCGATCCGAGCGCGGTTATATCACAGTGTTTTATGGATATGTAATAGGCATACGGCTATATGAAGAGAGAATTATGAGTAGGATGGGAAGTTTCACGGGTCTCCGGATGCCCGAAAACAAGTGATGACCTCCCAATAATCTCGCGTCTCCCTCCCGGTCCTCAAATAGGCATCGTCGCGCACCCTTCTCACCCCTCCCCACTGCATCTCTCCTCCGACATGTCGCGCGTGCGCGCCTTGTCAACCACCACCAAACCACCACCTCCCCCTGACAGCTGAGCGGAACGCTGCAAAATAAACCCTGACACTCTGACCAATGTGAGGAGAGTTTACTCGCACGTGACTCGTATTAGCTCTTTTGGTCTGATTAGAAACTTTGCAGTGTGAAAGTGAACCGCTCCAAGAGCAAAGAGCAACAATGTAACATTTGTAATCTCTTTTTCGGAACAACTGAATCGATTCACAGGTGTGAAAGCACCCTTATAGTACAATTGTATGTTCTAATGTGTCATTCTACTTTGGTAACAAGCTTGTAACATGCATTTTTAATATGTGAAAAAATAATGTTAATGACAACTAATATAAAATGGTAACCCACATACAGTATGAAGAGTTCAGATGCAAAAGCCTCTAAGTCAGGTCTCAAACTGCCGACCCTCAAACCATTTGCGGTCCTGCTTCCTCCTCCATCCGGCCCACAAGTGACATCAAAAATATAATGATATTCGGCCCATCAAAACATATATTTTTGAATCGCTATCATTGTTGTGCTATTACATACTTCTGGTTTTGACTCCCCACCTACTGGACATTTAAAGTTACATTTTAGGTGACAGGGTTACTTTCGATTTCTCTCAGTGTGCGGTCAAGAGTAACACATGCAGATTATTTCCGGGGCTGATTTAAACATTGAAAATTATGTACGCAAGCGCTCTATTTTTGTACATTTTCAAGGGTCATTTAATTATACTCAGTTTTATACCCCCTGTACTTTGTTGTACAAACACCTTTTTATGGCTTACACATGTTTTTGTAAATATGATAGTTTTGCTAATATTCGATTCAAATGGTCTTATGAATAGATTTTCCACATATACATATTAAGATTTGGATAAATGTGTATTAGTAAAATTTGACTGTTGGCTTTATTAAACATTTTAAAGTAAATATGAATATGTACATCCTTATCCCCTCTTTATTTTATTTTTACCAAAAAGAATGATATTGAGAAGAACGATTGCCAGCAACGTCATTAAAGTTACCCAAACTACATTCTACTGTCGTACGCTGAAAATTAGCATATTTTCCAGCCTTTATTGTTTATGCTGTTATTTAACTTTAAAGGCAATGAAAAAAACACACCTTACCACAAAAGTTCAATTACAGAACCTACACACAGGAGCTGTAGAAAAAATTCTAATTTTAAGAGAAATTTTCAGATAACACTTGCATCTGGCCTCTTCTCACTCACACACAATTACTCTCCTTCAAAAATGAATTTATGCTGCTTATCAACTGTGTTCAGATATAAACTAGGCTAGGTGTGCAGAGTTTCATAGATTAACTTTACATATTTTACACAAATTTGTAAGCATTCCATTTATATTAACAACCTTAATTAATAATTGATACCTTTTTAGGTCAGTTTAAAGTGCATTTCACAGCATGAGCTACATTTCTTTTTTAAAATAAAGATATATTTTAATTCTGTTCTGAATAACATTTCAGATCATAGATCTTACATAGTCCAAAAGGAATTGCTAAAATGTATTATAATTTGATTAAATGTGAAACTATGATGCCTTTTTATAATTTATGATAACTTTGCAACTTTTCTTTTTTGTTATAAACATGGATTGTTTGGTGGGTCTGTTTTAGTTACTGCAAATAGTATTATGTTATGTTGGTTTATCCAGTCATAGACCTACAGTGATTTAGACAGTATAAGAACAATAAAGATTCTCAGTAGATTTACCGCACACACTGGGGTATATATCTGTGTGAAGGATTATTTAATGACCTAAAAATCTACAGCAGTTTTTATGCTAACAACATGAAACATGATTTTCCTTGTCAATTTTTACAGGCACAAGAATTTAAGGAAAAGGCTGAGATGTTTCACTGCCAGTTTAGGAACTTCAAATATGTCTGCAAGTACTTCAGGAACAACTGGGAGACAATTGGTCATCTGTGGTCTAACTTTGGAAGATGCTATAAACAGAGACTCTGACACAAACAGGGAGACTGGTCTGAAATACATGATACCCCCATGAAAAACGGAAGTGTTGGCAGGTGTGCTTACCAGTTTAATATTTGATCTGCAATAGTTAGAAATCAGACTGTTATATCTTTTAAGCGTAACGCCTGTTTCACACCGCAAGCGTCAGCGGTGCGTGTTTTTTTGGCGTCCATGTTAACAGATTAGAGCTTTCATACGTTGCTGAAGCAGCAGTGCAGCGATAGTTTCGGCGCTGGGTCTATTTTTGACGCGCTGCTCACGCTCAAAGTGACAGTGCATTGATAATGACCTAAATACATTGAATGACAGTAAAAAGTAACAATTTTACTCAATAAATGCGTCAATAATATCAACTGATTTATATATAGTCAATCAAATGAACTTAAACCATTAAAAACTGCAACAAACCTTTATTTCGGGCCAAACTACAAAACCAATAGTTAAACAATTTTAGTATCAGTTTTCTTGGCGAGGGGAAGTGATTTACGGGAATTGTAGTCCATAGCAAAGTGTATTGTGGGTAGTGTAGTTCGACATGCATGCTGGATGATGTGAACTCGCTGTGTGCTGTGCTGCTCAAGCAGAGGAAGAAAGCTTTATTCGGCTTTGCTTTATGTTCGCTCAAGTTATTTCACCTGGGAGCTGTTCGCACTGTGAACCTGACAACACGAAAATAAGTAAAGGAAGGGCATGCATTGATCACTTTTATCCATCTCATCCTTTGCACGAGCATGAATTAACGTGCTGTTACTCTGCCGCTGGACATCACTGAAGTGGATCATGTAAAAATATAATTATAACTATACTGTATAGATATTATAACTATAGGCTTACATCCTGTCAATCAAAAACCAAATGACATATCACTGGCGATTGTCTTCTGACGTACACCTCAGAGTTTGAGAAGCAAACAGTACTGTTTGATCTATAAAATTTGTAAAATAAAGATTTGCAGGTTAAAGAAACAGCATAGGAGGAGGTTGCCGTTGGTCTTGTTGCAGATAAAATGTTTGAAAAGTGTATTTGTATATAGAGAGACATGGGTAACTAGATAGAATAGACAGCGATATGTTGATCTCTGCAGGAGCTGCCGAAGAGCTGCGCGCTGCAGACGCAGCTGGTGTAAAAGGCAAACACCTGCGTGCTGCTACTGCTCGACATACGCGCTGCTCACGCACTGCTTTCGCTTGCAGTGTGAAACAGCCGTAAGGACTTATTATGCGGTTCTGTCGCCATCTTGTGGATAGAAAACGTCAACTGTTGCCGACGAGCTGTCTCTCAGAAATTGTAAATATTTTAAAATAAGCACTATTCTTGCAAATAAACTGCATAGTTGCAATCAAAACAACTACATTCTCGACTAAAAAAAGCCTCAAAAGTATATTTTGTTGTGTCACAGCAGTAATATTTGTCAAACTGTAGTGTCTGCTGTATGTGGGCGGAGTTATACACAAAGGGTAAAAAGGTAGTACGGATGCTTATATTACTTAAATATATCACGGCTATCAGTCAATTTCGAAATCCAGACAGAACTGTTGTGTGTGTATGTATTTATGTATGTGTATATATATATTTATATTTACTATTTAAAATAGTAAATATATTAAATATTTTATTTATAAATATTTATTTATAATAAATATTTAATAAATATATAAATATAAATAAATATTTACTATTTTCCCAAGTGTATATAACCACTACTGTAAGAAAATGTCAGAATCTGGTACATTCTTTCTGTATTATCTTTGCTTGAACTGACCCAATCTAATCCTGTTTATATGAATTGAACCTGCTCCTGACCAGGTTTGAGCTACCAGAACTGTTGCTATGACAGCGACTCTCGGATCAGTTTTGAAGAACGAAATGATCCTGGATCGTGTCAAATCGTCATTATCCAAATCCAGCTAACTGAGTAATCCATGTACGAAGAACTGACCCCATGTATGAAGAACTAAGAAGAAAACGCAAAGAAAACAAGTTTTTTTTTTTAAATTTTATTTTGTACAGTATATCTGATATCAGTTTAGAACATAACATTTACAATAGAACAACTGTCTAAAATGAAATAAAATTATAATTGTAAAAACGTAATCTGAGTTTTGTTTTTGTTTACCACCTTAGTTGTGTACTAAGCTTATTTCAGGCAGTCCTCTAGAAAGGAAAAGAAAACATCAACTGCGAGAGGTCCCAAGAAATGAGTTGCCAAATCTAAGCATGATTCAGGGCCCAGGTTTTGCACATTTATCTTGTTCAATGCTCCTCCTGAAAAAAAAAAAAAACAATAATATTACTTGCTATCACGAGTTGCCTGTTATACAAAAGGTTAACATATTAGTAATATTAATTGATCAGTGATGATGACCTAAGGTTAAAATAATAATAATATTAATAAATCAGTGATGATGACCTGAGGTTAACATATTTATCATTTTAATAAATCAGTCATGATGACCTGAGGTTAACATATTAATAATATTAATAAATCAGTGATGATGACCTGGGGCCTGTTTCAGAAAGGAGGTTAACTGAAAACTCAGAGTATTTTAACCCTGAAATGAGAGAAACTCTGGGTTTTCCGTTTCAAAATGGCAGGTTTGTTAAACTCGAGAAAGCAGGGTAAGTCAAGCCTGTTTCTGAAAGAGAGGTAACTTTAACTCAGAGTCAGTTACTGTGGTAACTTACTCTGTGAATCTAACCTGGTCAGAAGCAGGTTTTATTCTCTAAACTCAGAGTTTCTGTCAGTCTCCTCCCCTTTTTTAAGATGAAGCGGTATTTCTCGCCTTAGCCTTACGTTTCCACCCACCTATTTTAATGCTCATTTTGGATACGTGCATAAAAACGATTGATAGAAACGTCATGATGCACATAACTTTTTAAAATATGCATAAAAAATGCGCATAACTGAGTAGGATAAACTTTTATTCGATAGAAAATGTGCGCATAAACTATGATGGAAACACTTTTACTGAACAAATTACAGCATGTACATTAAAAAAAGATCATGATCATATGATGATGAAAATGTGAACAAACCAGCAGGCTGAGCACACTGTAACACGTCTTAAATATTGTTTTAGTCATTCTAAAATGCCTTAACTGTTTCAGTATTAGTGTATATTATTAATTACCTCCGAACGTCTGGTGCGTGTCAAGAGTCTCCGCGTCTCATGGCTTCAGACGCCCCCACGTGTTCATTGTGTTTCAGCATTGCCTTCTGACATCGAGGCCCAAGTACATTAATTAGGCTAAATAAAGAATTAATTGACGCAGATTCTTCTACCACAGTAAATTCTGTTTTTACTGTTGATATTTGGTGCCAGATTAATCAGGAAGTGACGATTTTTTTCTCTTTGACTCGTTGGATGGAATTTTATTCGCATCTTTTATGCGTTATTCCAGTTTTGCACGTACATTTATGTAATATATTTGGATGGAAACATAGCTATTGCCTACATTTTAGTCACACACAGAAGAACTGTACGAGAATGGCTTATCCTTTTTTTATAAATAATTAAATTAAATTCACCTTCGACATGCACTGTAACTAGATTAATGGGATTATTATTCTTTCTAAAAATTATTTTTAGTACTGCTTACCTTCTAAATGTTATATTAACCTCTATCACTTGATCAGTAAAAAAGGCAGACACACAAGAGCACTGTTAAATCATTTAAAACTAATAAATGTATAAAAAAAAGTTTAGAAAAAAATATAAACGTCACAAATTACATTACTTATTTTATTATACTTACATATTTAAATACTTAAAAAGCGAAATTAGGCATTAACTTGAGCAGCTGTTTTCCCACGCTAACTGTCTCTTCTTCACTGATGGTTGCTTCTTTTCAAATATATACCCTCATATTTGCTATAACTTTGCATGAGAACATCAAGTTCAGCTGGAGAAAGAAATGCTGATCTCTTTTATAAGATATTGCCATAGTCACTCGTAATGTCTGCGCTCCATTGATAATGCCTTTTTAAAGTTACGGTGTGCACGCTTAACTCTGAGTTGGTCTACTCGAAGTTGATTGACCCAACTCAGATCAGCTATTCTAAAACCGAAAACTCTGAGTTTTTAATCTCTCGGTAAATCAACTCAGAGTTCAAGTTTAAACTCTGAGTTGTTTGAACCTCCTTACTGAAACAGGCCCCTGAGGTTAGCATATTAATAATAATAATAAATCAGTGATGATGACCTGAGGTTAACATATTAATAACATTAAAAAATCAGCGATGATGGCCTGAGGTTAACAAATTAATAATATTAATAAATCAGTGATGATGACCTGAGGTTAATATTTTATTATTATTAATAAATCAGTGATGATAACCTGAGATTAACATATTAATAAATCAGTGATGATGACCTGATGTTAAGATATTAACAATATTAATAAATCAGCGATGATGACCTGAGGTTAAGATATCAATAACATTAAAAAATCAGCGATGATGGCCTGAGGTTAACAAATTAATAATATTAATAAATCAGTGATGATGACCTGAGGTTAACATATTTATCATTTTAATAAATCAGTCATGATGACCTGAGGTTAACATATTAATAATATTAATAAATCAGTGATGATGACCTGAGGTTAGCATATTAATAATAATAATAAATCAGTGATGATGACCTGAGGTTAACATATTAAATATATTAATAAATTAGTGATGATGACCTGACGTTAACATATTAAATATATTAATAAATCAGTGATGATGACCTGAGGTTAACATATTAAATAAATTAGTGATGATGACCTAAGGTTAACATATTAATAAATCAGTGATGATGACCTGAGGTTAAAATATAAATGATATTAATAAACCTGTGATTATGCCAACATATTTAACAGAATAAATTATTAAATCACTAACGTTAGTTGAATTTTTGAAGCGATTCACAGTAGTTAACGCCTCAAATAACCTACTGTCTTGTGTTTAAACTAACGTTAGTGCTGTGTTGGTCCACATTTCTGGCGTGTCTTTAAATGAAATTGACATAATACATGCTAAAAACCGAATTATTAAATTCGCTATTAAAGTCTCTAAATTAGCAAGGGGATAAGTTTAGTCGCGTTTAATAACGTTTGCTAGATTTAAATATTCAAAACAATATTGTTAGCTTGTTTTAATTAATACCAGAAAGTAAATCACAGTAGCGGAAGAGCAGCACGCTAATCTAACGTTAGGTAGGGAGGGCTAATTAGGCTAACTTAATGCAAACAAAAGTTAAACGTTGCTCGTTTACTTCGCTGGAAAAAAGGACAAATACATAAACACATATGAATTTTACAATCATTGATGCTTCTATAAACTTATAGAGGAAAACCGGTGATCTCACCTCTTCACTTGTCCTCTTCACCTGTCCTCTTCACTGGTGAAAATGGCAGTTGCCTGTGCGTGGGTGTGTGTGTGTGTTTTCTTTTTTGAATTTGCGTTTTTGGCGGACTCTGCAGGAGGCTCATAATGATGACGTAATAACGTTTGATTGGCTGATAGAAATGATGTCCCTGGGTCATCATAAAATATGTTGGTCTCAGGACAACTAGCACTTGGCAAAATCAGGACGAGCTTAGTTTAACATGACAACAGACAGATCTTCAGTCATCTATTAGTTTGTGCTGAATTAAACTGAACAAACTCATATTTGTCTGATAAACTCTTGTAAAGGAGAATGAAGTTTGTC